CCATGTTTTTAGTACCATAAAATGGATTATTTAGTTTATTACCCAACTAAGGTATCTTTTATTTATTCTTGACTCTTGTTTAATTTTTTGTTAAAAGTTTTGTTTTTTTTGGGAAGTAATATCAATTGATTATTCTTTGTGGTTCATTTAGGGTCTTAATTAAGCCTGATTTAATTAGGACACATGTAAGGTTGTTGTCATCATATAATGTGGTTAGGACATGTGTATTGTGACATCGTGGTGGTTATTTTGGATGGGTTGGGCCACACGTAACATGATGGTTACGTAGAATGGGGTGGTGACATGTATATCTTGGTGGTTACATAGGGTGGGGTTGGGACACATGTAACATGGTGGTTACATGTACATGGGTGGGATTGGGACACATGTATATCTTGGTGGTTACATAGGATGGGATTGGGACACATGTAACATGGTGGTTACATGTACGTAAGGTGGGATTGGAACGCATGTAACATGGTGGTTACATGTATGTAGGGTGGGGTTGGGACACATGTAACATGGTGGTTACATGTACGTAGGGTGGGATGTAACATTGTGGTTACATGTACCTAGGGTGGGATGTAACATGGTGGTTACATGTACCTAGGGTGGGATTGGGACACATGTAACATGAAAAGTGGTGGTTACTTAAGATGAGATTGGGACACATGTAATGTAGTGGTTATGTAGGACAGGGTTGGGATGTGTATCATGGGGGTAACATAGGATAGGGTTGGGACATGTATATAAGGTGGTGGTCACTGTAGGACTGGGCGGGTACATGTGTAATGGGATGGTCATGTAGGATCGGTTTGGGAAACATCTAACATGAATGATGGTTACTTAGAATGGAGTGGTGACATGTGTATAGTAGTGGTGTGTTAGGATGGGGTTGGGACATGTGTATCGTGGTGTGGGACTTGTATCATGCTGGTTACATCGGATGGCGTCGGGCCACGTGTATTGTGATCTTCATTTATAATGGGGTTGGTCACGTATTACGGTTCCCCTTGTCAGTGATGCAGGATGGCGTGCACGTAAAAAATCCCTTGGCAGTTGAATTCGATATAAAAGTAGGCCATAGCGCCGCTGCCCGGGCAAAATTTCCCTCATAGCACGTTGTATGCCATATGCCCGTCTTCATTAGCCCAGGTTAGGAGCAGAACAGTAGGACGTTAAACCCCATTTCATTTCATTTCACGTATGACGTGGTGGTGACATAAGATGGGGTGGGGGAACGAAATGAAGAAAGGCAGATTTCCTGTATGCGAAAATATTCAACTCGTTGTATGCCATATGCCCGTCTTCATTAGCCCAGGTGAGGAGCAGAACAGTAGGACGTTAAACCCCATTTCATTTCATTTCATTTCACGTATGACGTGGTGGTAACATAAGATGGGGTGGGGGAACGAAATGAAGAAAGGCACATTTCCTGTATGCGAAAATATTCAACTCTTAACAATGAAAAACTCACTGAAAAACCCATTCCTGTGTCTTCATCTAGTTGGTAATAAACAGTATTTTTATTCTATAGAATTGTGTTTTTATACGCCCACATTTAAATGTGGTCGTATATTGTCGTCGCCCCCGTCCGTCCGTCCGTCCGTCCGTCGGTCCGTCCGTCGGGTGTCCACAATTGCTTGTGGACGCTCTAGAGGCTAAAGTTAATATCCGATTGACTCTAAATTTATACACAGTGTTTAAGGTCTTTATACGAAGAAGCCTATTGATTTTCAGCGATTTCCGATAATTACTGCCAGAGTTATGGCCCTTGATCCCTTCAAAAAATCTTGTGGACGCTCTAGAGGCCAAAGTTAATATCCGATTGATCTTAAATTTATACACAGTGTTTAAGGTCATGAGACGAAGAAGCCTATTGATTTTCAGCAATTTCCGATAATTACTGCCAGAGTTATGGCCCTTGATCCCTTCAAAAAATCTTGTGTACGCTCTAGAGGCCAAAGTTAATATCCGATTGATCTTAAATTTATACACAGTGTTTAAGGTCATGAGACGAAGAAGCCTATAGATTTTCAGCAATTTCCGATAATTACTGCCAGAGTTATGGCCCTTGATCACTTCAAAAAATCTTGTGGACGCTCTAGAGGCCAAAGTTAATATCCGATTGACTTTAAATTCATACACAGTGTTGAAGGTCATGCGACGAACAAGCCTATTGATTTTTAGCAATTTCCGATAATTACTGCCAGAGTTTTGGCCCTTGATCACTTCAAAAAATCTTGTGGACGCTCTAGGGGCCAAAGTTAATATCCGATTGACTTTAAATTTATACACAGTGTTTAAGGTCATGAGACAAAAAAGCCGATTGATTTTCAGCGATTTCCAATAATTGCTGCCAGAGTTATGGCCCTTGATCACTTCAAAAAATCTTGTGGACGCTCTAGAGACCAAAGTTAATATCAGATTGGCTTTAAATTGATACACAGTGTTTAAGGTCATGAGACGAAGAAGCCTATTGATTTTTAGCAATTTCCGATAATTACTGCCAGAGTTATGGCCCTTGATCACTTTGAAAAATCTTGTGGACGCTCTAAAAGCCAAAGTTAATATCCGATTGACTTTAAATTTATACACAGTCTTTAAGGTCATGAGACGAAGAATCCTATTGATTTTTAGCAATTTCCGATAATTACTGCCAGTGTTATGGCCCTTGATCACTTTGAAAAATCTTGTGGACGCTCTAAAGGCCAAAGTTAATATCCGATTGACTTTAAATTTATACACAGTCTTTAAGGTCATGAGACGAAGAATCCTATTGATTTTTAGCAATTTCCGATAATTACTGCTAGAGTTATGGCCCTTAATCACTTTGAAAAATCTTGTGGACGCTCTAGAGGTCAAAGTTAATATCCAATTGACTTTAAATTTATAATCAGATTTTAGTTTATTATAAATGTTTCATTACCGAAAATTAAAAATATGTGACAACTCTTGTTGACTGCCCGGACGATTTAGCTGCTGTGGGCGTATGTTTCGTTGCCTGGCAACCTATCTTTAAAAGATTTTTATTATCCAGGTGAAAATGATGATACTTCTAATGTAGGTTCATAATAGAATGTACACAAATATACAGGTCACTAGAAGCTACGAAATATGGCCATTGTCCGGTGTCTCTTGTATTCCTTTCCTCCTCTAACTTATGGTATGTTGACCTACTGGGTTGAACAATAGGGAATCCCTGTATTGAATGAGTAGGAGAATAGTCCTCGTCTGTACTAGTAGTTGAAGGGTTGTATAAGATAAAGTCAACACAAGTGATAAAATTCATACGTTGTAGTTGTTTCACCTGTCTTAGACAGCTCATGAATATTCATATCTTATCTAGCAAGGTTTAAACAAGGTTATTGTCATACATGGTTTACATCAGACTTGAGTTTTAGATAATTTGTCAACATTTATATTATTATTAATTCTACATATATATGAACACAGTTGGTGAAATAGTAGGAATACCCAGTCAGGTATTAAAAACATTATAGTTTAATTTTCTAGGAAAACCAAGACTCCGTTCAAATGGCATATTTAAAAAGATATTGACATAATTTATGACATTTCCATCAATTTGCTGGCATTGAGATTTCTTGTCAACACACAGCCAATCCATTCACTTGCTTTAATAGTATTGTATTTATGTCCATATGTTGTTTGTCTTGTCCTCAATCTGATTCAAACACAGATCCTATTTCGTTTCGTTTTTTTATAGTTCAAAATTTTGATTTACTTGTCTTTACTACTACACTAGGATCTGGAAGAGTTGTTCTATAACCTCCTTTCTGGTTGATCTGAGGGATTTGCCAATGAAACGGTCTGTTGCAGCGAGTTTTTGGCATGCGCCATGCGATGCATGTAACTGTGGGTATTCTACTAGAAACATCAACGCTGATTGGTTAATGAAATGTCTGACATCATAGGGTCAAAAGTCGCTTGTATGATCCCTGACACAACCTCCTACTACAACTGGTCAGATCTTCATGTAGTAGAAGCCATCAAAAGTATATAAAAATGAAATGAAATATAGATCTGTATTTTAATCAGATTGTGTTGTCCTTGGGTTTGTCTTCTGGGTTTCTATTAGTCTGCTGCAGTTCAATTGTTACTGGGGGGTTGGATGGCTGAATTGTTAGCACGCGCGCGCTGTGTCATACGGTCTGTCATTGAGTCAACTGGCGGGGTTTCGATTCCCCGGTTGTACGTGACAAGGAGTAGGGTCGCCTGTCCAACCTTGTGGGTTTTCTCCAGGTCCTCCGGTTTCCTCCCACTGCTAAAGACTCCTACGCGCAAGCGAATTATTGAAATAAAATTAAACCATATGTTAGTCCCGAAATGACCTAGTTTGTGTCGAGTGGATGTTAAACTCTCTCTCTCTCAATCTCTCTCAATTGTTACTGTTAAAGATGTTACGTATGTTGGTTGGATTCTGGTGTTGGTCAATAAGGTTGATGTGGCGGTACTGTGAAAGAACCCTTGATGAAGAATAGGGAGAAACGCTACCGGTACTGACAACTGTTCTAGCAAACTTCCCTTTATTCATAATAGTCTGGTTGGTGCAGACAATTAGGATGTTACCCCTCTCACCCTCCCAGTTTATTTCATCTCATCTCATCTCATTTCATTTCCTTTCCTTACTTTCTTTGATTTACACCAAACAAATTACATTGTATCATATTAATATACTGGTATATAAGTCTCAGAATTTAAAGTGGTGTTATTCATGAATTTCAGATTTGTGAAAATTTCAGAAATGTGCATCTGTTTTGCAGAAAAGTAGGACATTAAACTCAATTCCATTTCATTTTCAGATTAAAAATATGACAGTTTTGATTTTCTGAAATTGGATGTGTCAGTTTGTTGATAGACCCCATTAAAAAGCACAGAATTGGCATGGTCATTGTAGAGTTATGGTCCCAGAATAAAAAATCTTGTGATCGTTTATGAAAGATAATTTATTGATGACCTTTTAAATGGAATATTTTCAGGTGGTGTCTGATTTAAGACTGTCTAGTGATGATTTAGCAGACGCCCAAATAAAGGGTGTCAAAGTATGTGACATTTTGTCTGACAAACTGGCATCCCATAATGCACCTAAAGTCGCGAAGGAGAACAAACAAGACGACAAACAATATGAGACAGTGGAGACAGCCTTGAAAACAGCCGAGACAGAAGACACGGCTGTAAAAACATACGAAACACAGGAGACAGGGGTAAAAACTTATCAGGACGTCGGAAGCATAACAGGTCAGTACATCCTTTTGGGTTTTCTCCGTGTCCTCCTGTTACCTCCCACTGCTAAAAACATCTACGTGCAAGCGAATTATTAAAAAAACAATTAAACAAAGTAAGTCATGAACAGATCTATTTTGAGTCGAGTGGATGTTAAACCCCATTTCTCTCTCTATAGACTTCTCTAATTAACTTTAATCACCAATATATTCTCCTGTTTGACGGTTTTAAGAATGAAGGGAATCTGAGTGGATACATGTGCTCAACTAGAATGTCACAGTCTCAAATACAGGTATTGGTCGAGATTACATTTGCGATTTTTCAAACCTGGTTCCAAATTGTCAGGAGTAGCGTCTGCGGGGCCAACAAATTTGAAATTGAAATAACAAGGTCTGTCTGTGTATACAATGTGATGGATGAAAAGGAACCCTTGACCTTTAGAATTCATTGTAAAAAATTATTGTATGTCATTCTCAATCTGTCTGAAATACTCAAGTATTGTGTTAAAACTACAGTGGTTTAAAGGCTCAATACCACTTTTGTTTATTCTGGTCAACAAATTGTACTATTTTACAATATTCCAATTAATTGATGATACAAATTTCATCTTAACACATCTAATTTAAAAAACTGGAAAAATTCAACTAAATGATTTGAAAAGCCTGACGTAAAGCTTTTCAAATGTGACTTGGATTTAAAAATATTTTTGAACCCTCTGGACAAGTAAAATAGGATTTAATGGATAATTTACACAACAGGTAGGGCACTCACACATCTAGTACTTAGAATAAGGCTATTTTTTATTTTCTGGAGCCGTCAAGCCAGCAAGAGTGTTATTGTCCTTTAACAAGACAAATATGCTAACCAAAGTTACATATGTGTTATTGCTATTCAACAAATAAATATTAAATCTAAAAAAATGTTATTATTTAAACTCAATTTTTTGTAAATGTTTTAGATGTTTGTAATAGTTCTGATCCTGATGAAGTTGAGATCCTTAGTTTGATCGAGGAGCAGATACCTAAATATCGTCTACGTGCTGACACCATCACAGATTTTGCTGGTTATACTAACGAGGATTTTATTATACATACACCAGTTACTCCCCTTGATGAGAATCTCGAATTAAACGACGAACAAATCAACGAAACGCTCAAATATTTTGGTAAGTTTGAATTTTGTTTATTTGATTTCTTTTTAAAGTGATGTGCTCTGAAGATCATAGATCTGTATAATAAAAGTGTCGAGCTGAGTCAGTATGGAACACGAATCAGTTAGGGAACATGAATCAGTATGGAACACGAATCAGTTAGGGAACATGAATCAGTATGGAACACGAATTAGTAAGGGAACATGAATCAGTATGGAACACGAATCAGTAAGGAACACTGGGATCTTAATCAGCTCATTATTGTTGGCTTTCAGATGTTTGAAAATAGCCGATTGATAAAACAATGAACCATTCACTATTGTATCATAAATCAATCTACTTTTGGGTTAATTATTACTTGTTGATTAAGAAGTCAATCAGCTTGCTTGTCAACTACAACATCAGCCATACCTTATAGAGAATCGGCCATATGTGGTTCATGATCCGAGTAATTAGCACATTCAACGGTGAATTTGATAATCTGGTAAAAATACAAAACATAACAGGTTCACTAAGTTGCCTTTGTGATAATAAGCCACGTGTCGAATGAAGACGATCTTGGCATGGAATATGAATCTTGGGAACCGCGCTATCTTCAATGCTCCGTACGAATTCCAGGTAGATATTAAAATAATAAATGGATCATACATTTGATGGTTTCACTGACCCATTGTTAGTTAAATTTAAATAGTCATTTAATAATCCCTGAATATCCTGAGAATCGGTCATTAATGATTTATTTTCCCAACAAAATCTCCAGTGACACGTGACATGCATCAGTTAAAATTAAGTCAATACACCAGCGATACTAGATTTAGTTTTTACCGTTATAATTTTTATAAGCCCACATTTTCATGTGGACGTATATTGTCGTCGCCCCTGTCTGTCCGCACGTCCGTCCGGACGTCCGTCTACAATTGTTTGTGGACACTCTACAGGTCACAATTTTTATCTGATTTCAACGAAACTTGAAATATAGCTTTATCTCCCTAAGATCTCGGTTCCTTTCGATATTGGCATGGATCGGACCGTTATTTTATTTTATAAAGCGATTTCAATTGTGCCGTTTGTGTATCATCTACGAATGAATAAAAAATTTGCAAACTATGTGTTAGACAAAAATAACAATTTGTGTTATGTATGAAGAAATGCCCTATCAGCTTATTTTGGCTACAGCATTTTCTGATACAACAAAAATTAATAGAACAATATAGCTCTGTAATTATAACCTCAATATATTTATTTGATATGATACTGCATCTAGAATCCAGCTACACATATAGTTGCTTTGTGGTAAATGTTACTAACCATATTCATTCTAAATCATGTCTTGGATATCAATGATTAATCATGAAGCAAAATGAAAATATATAGTATAGCACTAGCAGTCTTGTTCACTTAAATAATATTCCTGTACTAGGTGATCAGTCTTGTCTTACAAGCCCATGGTGTTTTTGTTTTCCCCATTCATAAAGAACATAATAATAAAGTTAGGACTGTCCATTAGATGATTCAAAGAGAATATTAATATCATCAATGATTTCCAAAAGGGGATGCAACTCTGTTTGTGCTATTCTCATTAAAGCGGCTTGTGCTCTTAAAGAAAAAAACAAAACAAGTGAATAAATACCCCGGAGCTATGATTAGTCCCTCTGTTTAAATCCTGCACAAAATACAAATGAAATAGCACCATTAAATTTCTTGTAAAAAAAGAATAAAGTTATGAAGTTATTTTAAAGTTTTTCTGTACAGCTAAACAGATTTTCTCTTATATTAATATAAAAAAAATGTTCAGTAAACTTCATATTTATGGTTTTATCGGAAAAACATAAGTTTACAAATCATGGAGATATTTTATTGAAGAGTGCAGTACATTTGTTGTACAGCATTTAATGCCAAGATTCCATTTAGATCATTCAATAGACCAGTTCAAAAGAATTTATTCTTCATGTACTGCAAGTCTGTATGCTGCCACACATTCTATGAATATTAAGCCAATATTTTGTGGTTAAAATTTTTTTTGTTATTGATAATCAAGGCTTCATCTTTGAACATCCAGTAATGTTTGGCTGTTCTTCCCAAATATTTTTATTGACCTTCATTTGTCTTTTCATTCAGTTACACCATACTACACCATCAGGCCACTAGTTACACCATACTACACCATTCAGGCCACTGATAAAAATGATATGTTTTTACTCTCAAGTTATTTTAGAAGTAAAATTTATTCAAGATTTGTAGAAATTGTTACTTTCAAATCAACATATTGTCCTCATCTGTTTATTATTTTTGTTTAAAGATCAGTTATTTCACGGAATGTTGCAAGTTTTGAATATTTACTATACATGTATAGTACATGTTGATAATCTGATTTAATTCGATTCTTATTAAATACCAGCACTGTACCAAAAATACATAATTATTTGAATATAAATATTTAATTATCTGTCTGATCACTATAATTTTTTTGCTTGAATAAATCATCAGTAGCCTATTTCAATTGATTTGATAACAGATATTATTTTTCAAAGCCCCAATATGCTAGAATTAAAGTTACATAACATGTACCGGTACTATTGTTAAAAGAACATCTTGTTTCAAAAATTATTGAAATGATCAGTTATAACAAAAGGTATGGTTATTTAAAGTTACATTGGTTGCTATTGATTTCATACGGCCATTATTGTATCTTAAGACAAACAAAGTAATAATAATTTTGTTAGTTTTTTTTTTGACAATTCTTTTTATACACAGATCTTTAACTGCATAATAACAACAGTATTTATATTAAAATGTTTTTGGAAAAATATGTGAACGATCTGGCTGGTTTTAGCTTTAGTAAAATCCATATTATAAATATAGTTGAACTATTACTGTATATAATGGCATGTTATTTGGTTTCTTGACATAATGCCATGTAACATTTTCAGACTATATAAAATTAACTTAAAGTACAATCCGTTTTCTTGGAAAATTTTCTGTTTCTGGTCTTCTTATTGTGCAATCTGTTAGTATCCCCTATTTTATATGGCTCTGATTCCCCTATTCTACATACATGGCTCCAATTCCCCTATTCTACATGGCTCCAATTCCCCTATTTTACATGGCTCTAATTCCCCTTTTTATACGCCCACATTTTCATGTGGACGTATATTGTCGTCGTCCCTGTCCGTCCGTCCGTCCACAATTGTTTGTGACCCTAAGATCTCGGTTCCTTTCGATATTGGCATTTATCGGACCGTAACTTCATGGACTATGGCCCCTGATTGTACGAAAAATCACGTTTTTGGCTTGTGAACACTGTAGAGGTCACAATTTTTATCCGATTTTGTTGAAACTTAAAATGTAAGTTTATAACCCAAAGATCTCGGTTCCTATCGATATTCGCGCATAACGACCGTAACTTCCTGAATTATGGCCCCTGATTGTATGTAAAAACGCGTTTTTTGGCTTGTGGACCCTATAGAGGTCATAATTTTTATCCGATTTAAAAAACCTTATTATTATATCACCGTTAAACCCTAAGGAAGGTCGAGTTCGAATTTCGTGAAAATCAGCCCAAAACTGACAGACAAAATGGTCACCGTTCGTTCTCAAATAGCGTAAAAATATGGTATATCAAGGTTGTGGACCCTATAGATGTCACAATTTTTATCCGATTTTGTTGAAACTTGAAATGTAAGTTTATAACACAAAGATCTCGGTTCCTTTCGATAATCGCGCATATCGGACCGTAACTTCATGAATTATGGCCCCTGATTGTACGCAAAAATGCGTTTTTTGGCTTGTGGACCTTATAGAGGTCATAATTTTTATCCGATTTAAAAAAACGTGTTAACATATCACCGTTACAACCCAAAGATCTTGGTTCCTTTCGATATTCGCGCATATCGAATTGTAATTTCCTGAATTATGGCCCTTGATTGTAGGAAAAATCACTTTCGTTTAGCTTGTTTTCTATCCATCTCTCGAAAATGTGGGCGTATACTGCCTGGCAGCCGCTGGTTTACATCACTCTAAGTCCTCTCTCTGTTCCACATGCCTTATATCCCTCTATTCCCCATGGCTCATATTCCCCTCTTCTACATGACCCCAATTCACTATTCTACATATGGCTCATATTCCCCAACTCAATATGGTTCCAACTCAGTGAACTCACCTGCTCCACATGGCTTCATTTCCCCAATTGAACATACATGGCTGCTATTCCCCTACTCTGCATTACTCCAATTCTACATACATGGATCCCTTTGATCATATTCCCCTATTCTAGATCGCCCCTATTGTACATGACTCCTATTACCCTATCCTACATACATGCCCCCTTTTCTACATGGCCCCAAAAATAACAAATATACTGGATAATAAATGCAAGGTTTGGATTGATGTAGTTCAATTTATTTATCCTTGTATATGAAAGACGCCATGATAATAACTGTTGCATCATTTGGTTCTATCTCGATAAGATCAATAAATTAACTGTTCTTGGCCTTAGACCATCCACCTCTAAACATCTGTTAGGAACCAGAGAGGAATTCCTAACACACTGACTTCTGCCATTAATACCTCTGCTTAGTCAACAACACTTTCGCAAAATGTAGCTTGGAATAATTTTCAATGATGGACATAACTGATGATTTAATTTGATGAAGATATGGGATTGATTAATTGAAGTTTTGATTTGACTCATCGTTCTTGGATAAATTTGTAGCTGTTTGATTTCACGACTATTATTAATATAATCTGTTTAGACAATGTTTTTTCGATGTGTAACTTGAAATGATTTTCAATCATACTTTATAATGAGTTGTGTAGTAATGTGGATGGTTTGATCGTGGAATCTGGTTTGTTAAACCGAATAGATCATTCCATCATGGCAGTGTATCAAGCAGTGGGTTGCTGTCGTAGAGAAACAAGTAAGAACTTATCATTGATTTAATATTATTGTTTAAAATCTCAAGAGAAATAATTCTTTTCGGTCAATTGCCCTAACTGATATATTTGGGTGGATGGGG